TGACGAGGGATATGGCTGCTGCCCCCTGATTTGTCGGGTACGGTGGTCGGGCAGGAGGTCTTCCTACGATATGCCGAACTACCTTTCCGTGAGTTTCCCTGTGCCGGGCTACCTCGGAAGTGGCGAGTTGCCTGTGGCAAGCTAAGCCGAGCTGTCTGGCCCGAGGTGTCTACACCTCGGGGTGTCTTCACCTCGGGGTGTCTATAGGCGGATCGGTGTGTGTTCCTGTCTGGGAGTGGTCCGAGATCCACTAGGAGGAGCTCGGGTATTAGGAAAGGTCAGGGGGGCCCCGAGCTCGGAGGTAGCTCGGGGTGCCTTAGCCCTCGGGGTGGCGGTGCAGGCCAGGCGGCTCCCGGCGAGTAGTCTATTCCGTCAAGTTGCCGGGATGAACTCGGTGGGACCTTCCCTCCGAGTTGTGTTTGCGCCTGTTGTGCTGTCGCGCTGAGTCATCGTTTGAGCAAGGTCACACACACGTGTACTCGGGCTACGAGGTCGGGCCAAATCACCCTCCATCAATTTCCCCCCACTCCCTGTATTGGTCGTGTTGACCCAGCGCGGGGAGTTCATGTCGCGCCGGGTGGATTTGGCTTCGACACTTATGCTGCTTCGTCACACGTTCCGTCCAGCTGGACCGGTCTAGTTCCCGGCTCGGTTAAAAGGAACCCGGGTCACGTTCAGCTTACGCGCGGATGTCACGCGGTTTGGACTTCGTGGACGCGAAAAAATGCGCTAAATCGATTTCGCCTCAAGGAACCCATAGCCGGTTTTTCTAAGAGTCGTTGGATCGTCTTGATCGCGACCGTTGATGCTCGGGCACAGTGGCTATTAATAGTGGGGGACCCTTGGCCATTTCTTCGCCACAAAGTCTCCAGCGTCAGTGTTTGAGCTCGCGTCTGAAGTTCTTAGCTCGGGTCTTCTAGCTCGGTTCGTTCCTCTTGTCAGTTCGCGTCTCCAGTGGTGAGTCCCCGTGCTCCTCTTTCTTTTCTGAGCACTCTTTCCTTTTTTCCTTGCAATGTCGTCCAACGTAGATGTAGATAGTCTCATCAACGAGCCCGTGGTGGGTACCTCGGCTCAGGGTGGCTCCTCTACCGCCCAGCCGTCCAATGTACGGGCAGCTTCGGGTCAACTGGCATCCACCTCCCACCGAGGTCGGGTGCCAGATCAGTTCGACCCTTCCACAATGACTTCGGAGAGGCTCCAGGACCTCATACAGAGGTTCAACCTCCCTAGGGAATACTCATATAGCCTTCCTACCGGCAACTTCCCATGGGAGAACGGTCCTGATGAGATCGTGGTCTTTAGGGAGCAACTGGTAGCCGGACTCCGACTTCCTCTTCACCCTTTGATTGTTGAGGTGCTGGTGCACTTTAACATCACCTTGGATCAACTTCACCCGAACTCCATACAAATTGTGGTGGGGTCCATCTCCCTTTGTTTTGACCGTTCTCTCTCCATTGACCTAGACATCCTTAGCACAATCTTGGCCATAAAGAAGAGTGCTTTGAGCACTCTCCCTGGGCACAGACGGTCTTACTACCTGTCTCCCCGCCCGTGTTTCAAACTCATGCACAAGCTCCCGAGTAAAGTCCCGGCCTAGAAGCGGGACTACTTCATAGTTCCGAGCAGCACGGGGTGACCCTTCCCCACTGACTGGAGGGTGGCCATGCAAGACCCCGATGTCATCCTAGACGGGAAGATCAAGAAGGCACTCCAGTTGTTGGCTCAGCTCGGGTTGAATTACAAAGACTTCACATCCGAGGAGAAGCTCATCCTGGCCGGCTTGAGCCCGGGTAGGTTTTTCTTCACTTCGGCTTTTCTGTTCATATATTTACTTCGGGGTTACTAACGCCGACCTTCACTGCAGGTCCTATGGAGGCAGAGAAGATTGACGGTCAAAGACTCTTCCGTCAAATGAAGAGGAAGAAGCGCGTGGCCAAGAAGGCTCGCGTTGAATCTCCGTAGGCCTCCGCCGAGGCTCAACCTTCACAAGTCCCGACTCCGGAGCCCGAGCTCCCCCATCCTCACCCCGTCATCAACTTGGAGGAGGACATGGTGCGTCAAGGCCCCGAGATGGCGGCAGAGCCCACCACGGAGCCTGCCGAGACCGTCGCCGGGAGTGACACAGGAGCTGCCCCTGGGGCATGCCCTGCGGAGACTATTGCCAGGGCCTGTCCTACTAATACTGTTGCCGAAGCTTCTGAGGAGTCTGCCCATGTGGCGGAGGTGACTGTCTCAAGCTCAAATAGCCCAGGGGATGAAAGTATTCTGAACCCCCGATGCAGTCTGCAGAAGAGCAAGGAGGTTGCTTATCCGGAGGAGGTCACTGAATGGGCTGATCTTACTCCCGGTCAGCTCGGTGGCCGAGCTACCGCGCATGCCATGGTGGTGAGTTCTTCCCCTCTCCCTCACTTCTTTCTTTTCTTCTTTCCCCCCCCCCTTTTTTTTTACTGACCGGTCTTGCCTTTGTGCAGGTGAACTCCGTTGTGCGTGCCTCGACCTTTCAATCCGATCGGAACTTGAGATGGGCTCTGGATGCTGAGAGGTCGTCCCGTGAAGCCCATACCGAGCTAAGGGTAGCTCGGGGTCAAAT